CACACACACACACACACACACACACACACACACACACACACACACACACACACACACACTCACACACACACGCACACAAACACTCAATTGATAATGCAATGACTGCATATGTTAACAACAAGCAATCCCATTGTGGTGTGAACCAGAAACTTTACTACACGTCCAAGGCGAACGCCGATGTAAATACGGGTGGACTATTCAATTAGCAACGGATGCTATAACCGAGTCAAAAGAAGATGCATTGCGGTAATGGAAAAATAAGTTCAACAATTACAAAACACTGTCAAGCACCAAGAATCCAGCGACGCGAGAGGAGTTAAGATTCACGGTCCACGATATGAGTATCCTCATGAGTGACACAAGATGGTTGAACGATGACATTATAAACTTCTATAGCAATATGATAAAGGTTGACAACATGTGTAGGACTTCCCATCGAGAGTGCGATACACAATCTAACATGTCCGCGAGGTACGCAAAGGGTTGATTCCACGGACAACCGTATGTAACTCTTTTTTTTTTGTCAAACTCATGGGTGATAACTTCGGATATCATTATGACAAAGTAGCTAAATGGTTCAGAGATGTATTGATCGCAGACACTGACTTGATTTTAGCTCCATACCATAACATTCATGAAAAACATTGGACACTTGTTGCAGTAGACCTTCGACGAAAAGTTGTAGAGTACTACGATTCGATGGAACCAAACTCGGACTTTGCAAAAAAGGTAGTCAATAACCTCGCGAGGTACGTGTACGATCGATCGACACAACAAGGAAAGCAAGTCGACACTAGACGTTTCAAAAAGGTATTCGAGGTGGTTGGTATACCGAAACAGAAAGAGGTTCATCAGTGTGGGGTATTTGTGCTAGCGTACGCATCTCTTTTGGCAAGAGGTCAGTTGCCACCATTCCGATTCGATATGCACGATATCCAACGTATTAGACGTCGGATCGCATTCGACTCAGTAGCAACTAGAGAGGATGCGTAGAATGTGAGAGACTGCAGAGGAGATTGAAGGGGTTGAAAGGTGACAGTCATTGAATTGTTGGGTTGCAAGTCACTTATGGCAGTTTGCAAAATTACAATGTTATGTACATCATGAAATGATACAACTGACAGATCGCAAAAGCAGCAACATTTCCAACAAACTTGTACGCAGTCACACAACATGTAGGGGTCTCTGTGAGGTATGGATATGTATGGTCTATGTGAGGTCTGCATATGTATGGTATATGTGGAGAGCAAAATGCAAAAGGATGGAGACCAAGAATGTATCATATACCATAGGCATATGTAGGGTGTATATGGTACGATGTGCATATGTATGGTACATGCGGCATGATGTAATATAGTAGGTATATGGTACATGATAATTCACCTACCATATATGGTCCACATGATACCATACGACTACTACCTACTATGGTATACATATAAAGCGAAAAGTTGCGATTTTGCAGGGGAAATCTGTACATTTTTCACTCAATTCAATTTCGCGATTTTAGAAAAAAATGTAAGTTTTAACGAAATGTCAGTTGGGGCGTCGACCGCGCGCGGATGCAGGCGGTTGACGTCACCGGTGCAGGGACGAGAAGTTTCAAAAGCGATGACTATCAGTTCAAAAAGAAAGGCGATAGGGAGAGAGAGAGAGTGAGTTACACCGAGACTGCGCGTACGCACAGGAAAGGCCGCGGAGGGGAGGGGAACACCAGAATCAACACACTCATACTCCTAAGCAGACGGTCCTCCAGTTCAGTTCCCCCATCCCCGCCCGGATAAGTACATACACACATACATGAATGCAATCAACAACCCTTGACAGGACATCCAATCATCCATAGACCTTCGACATCACTCATGCGCACAACCAGCTCCCATCACTCGGGTCTTCACACACACGTCATGCATAGACAAAGCAGCAATGGAGATAAAAGCGAGTCCTTCTTGTATACAAAAATTCTCAATTAACTGCCGCCCCCAGGCGCAGCCTTCAAAACCTCCCAAGACCACCGACCACCATAGCCACAAGGCCCTGCCGCAGCCGGCGCCCAATCCCCACCACTGCTCAGTCCCTCCGACTGCTTCGCCCCGAGACTACCGCGGGTCCACCCCACGTCGTCACTCTGCCCGTCCTTGGGCTCGTCGAGCCTGTTCGGCGCCGCGGACTTTTGCGCATAGCTCGCGCAGCATTGCAGCCGAGATCAAAGAGAGAGAGAGGAGAGGGTTGCACAAATTTATAGTGCGGGAGGCGGCGGGTTGTCAGCGCGAGGTTGTAGATGAGCAGGACAGGAGGAAGGTGGGGATTTAGAGGGTTCGACCCGCAGGATGGCATGGTCCTACGTGATTGGGGTGTCCGTTCAAGTGGTGCGCGGTTTCCCGCTCTCCACATTGATCCGAGCATCCCAACTACGCGGCCAATCATTTCGCGGAGTAAGGATCGAGCTGGGCGGAGGGGAAGACRAAGAGTCCTGCATGGGGGAAATGCGCGCAGCAAGAAGGGAAGATGGCGCGGGGATGCAAAGCAAGAACCGGGGGTGCGAGACGCGCGAAGAAGTCGGAGCTTAGGCGCGCGCGAGCGCAAAAATTCAAAAAGTCCCCACCGAAACCGTTTCTTGGTTTTCATACCACGACCGCTATTCGCCCGCGCGGGAGTTATTAACCAAAAATGAAAAAGCCGTTTCAAAAAGGAAAACAAAAGCAAAAAGAAAGAAAAACCCCTGTTTGTCTGCATCCGTGCCTCGGGGCTTCCGGGGGATTTCTCCTCAGGGATACGGGAAGTCGCGCGGTACGGGTCTGAGCTTATCACACGCTGTACCTACGAAATGGAACGAGTAAGGCTGGAAGGTCCGGAATTTATGGACAGTATCAAACAACAGATCCAAATAGAAATTATTGCGAAATGGGACACAGTCAAAACTCAGTTACAGATGCAGACAATACTCTCAAGAAGAGACATCCAACAAAAAATCCAGAAGTTCAGCTCGAGCTGGCTGGGAGGGGACAAAGGTGGAAGGATAGGGAAAGTGGGATGGAAAGGAGGACAGAAAACAGGGGAGATTTTAGAAAGGGATTACCGGCTATTATTCAATGACTGGACAAAGATTGACACAGCTATCTCAATGAGACCTGCCCAAGAGTTCCCTGACTTTTCCCTCCCCCCCCAAACAGCCTAGTAGACTTAGGATGGTATGGCAGGGATGGATGAAAGTAGGGATAGTTAAGCCAGGTTTCAGGTGTGGTTGTCTGTGGCATGGTCACTGGACTCATCAAGGCTCAGGGAAAGGAGGATCTAGTGTGTAGTGATGGAAAAAAGTGCCCAGTTCGATACTCAGGTCCCCAGGGTCATCAATATAGGAAGGAGGGAAGAATTAGTGTGTAATAGATAGTATCTGGCGCCTGTTTCCGGGTGAAGAGATTCTTCCCCCCCACTCTCTAACCCCCTGCTCAGTTAATCCCCCCGACCCCGGGGTAATCAATGCTGGCAGGAACTACACTCATCCCTTTCTTGACATATTTCATGCAGCCTGTATATGGGACGCTGGATCCGTTTTCCAGCAGGTGATGCTCCCCACCAATAGACGAAGCCGCCCCCCCCAGGTGCTAGTGGTGTCTGCTCTTACCAGCATCACTAACACCGATGGGGGCGTTTTTTGCAAAAAAAAAAAAAAGAAAAAAAAAAAAAAGGNAAAAAAAAAAAAAAGAAAAAAAAAAAAAAGGTCTAGTATCCCACCTCTACAACAACCTGGGCTTTATAGAAAGAAAGAAAAAAAAAAGTTTAGCGAGTGCACCTGTCCATCCGGCAGGACCTCTACAACAACCTGGGCTTTATAGAAAGAAAAAAACAAAAAGGTTTAGCGAGTGCACCTGTCCATCCGGCAGGGATAAGATCCCGACCAATGAAGGAAAATAACACCCCGCGGTCCTCTCTCCATTCTGGTGGGGAGGATCTGACAGAGCAGCAGTGATTGCTTCCACACGCTTAGGGGAATCAGAGAGATGAGCTATAATCCATCTCAAGAGACTGAAAGCCAGTTCTGTCATAGTTGCTCCAATCTATTTGTGGGGAGCACCACTGCTGCCAGCCA